CTCGACGGGGAGAGAGTTACCTTCACAAGCGAGCTCCCGATCTTGCTTCCGATCCGACAGAAGGAAAAGTCGTCGAATTGGCGAAGTCGAATAGCATAGAGGGAGAGAGTGATCGGAGAGGGAGAGCCGCGAGAGGGAAATCCAGAGAGCGAGAATGAGAGGCTCGGTCTCATTTTAGTGTCGAGACGATCGTGTATGACGAGACGTCATCGTGCGAAGACAAACGGAGCACGATGCGATGATTCGAACGAGATTTCCGCAGTCGTGCGAGTCGGCGCTGAACAGGTACGAAATTTTTTTTATTTGATTTTGGCTGCCGTATACAGGTCAACAGCTGCTACTATATGCTAGATACCACGTATATCTACGTATCTGATTGACGACTAGCCTTAGTCGAAAGTTCTCTCATTATCGGGAGGGGTAATTAACTATAGGAGCTTGCGCCTATAGGAAACTAGAACTCAGATCATAAAGTCCTCATAAAATGAGGGCGAAATCTCTGGATAGTGTCTTATCTACAAACACATCTGCCTTCCAAAATTTACCCCGGAACTTATTCCGTTAAAACTCCCTCACCAAAGAAAAGCAAATAGTGCGGGCGGAGGCCGGGGCCGAATTTTCGGAGCCCACAAACCCCCAATTTTCTAGGTGGATAATTAAGTTTGGGAGTGTCATTCACTTATTCTTGGGAAAAAAAAAGTATGGGTTCAGCTCATCAAGTGCTTATATGACATTAGTTTTTGGCTAGATTTTTTGTGGGGTGCAGTATTTCTGCTCTTTTTGTTGCGTTATCCGCTCAAAGTTGTTATTCCAAAATACTATTTTTTTACTTCAAGGCATCTCTAATGATGCTGCAATGACGATTAGACGGGAATTTGGCAGAAAACAGTAGAGCAGCAGAAATTGGAGTTGGAGAACTTTTCAATTGTGATGTATGTACGAGGTGTATTAGCATATCCGTGAACTCAGTTCCCTGAGCCTTTTAATGCATATCACAATTATAGTCCGCTTATTCAGGATACTAAATTCAGGCAAAAGGTGTTCATTTATCTTGTGAATTAGCTGAATTTTTTTCACTTAATTTCATAAATGCAATAAGTGCCTCCATTTGAAACATTTTATGGATGAGAAACCTTCTTTCATTGATTTTCATCAGGTTGTCTTGATGCAGTGATCTCTCTACGCTGTAATTTTCTTGCAATTCAACTTATGCGGCTCTTGATTATTTACTGTGTTAAGGGTACACTGCATTTATAACCCACAGGGTAGTGTTACCATCACGAAATTTAAATTCGTGTTATGTTCTGTGGTTTTAAAACAGTATGTTATTTTTCATTGTTTTACTTGACCTAAATCTTGTAAGAAACAGTTACAAGTGTAGCAAAATTTTCACCTCTCTGATTCATAGCATTTCACTAAAGCAAAATGTACCTTAGTCACGATGTCAACTCCTATGAAGCAGCTTTTCAGACAATATAATGGTGATTTATCCTCTCCAGCATTAATTTTTTTTTGCAAAATTAGTTTATGAACTGAAATTTATCTTCGATTTACTTCATTCTTTTATTTTTACGGTTTGCCTGTAATAATTTTTATATCCGGTGCCCATCGTTAAGAGATCTGATAGCTTCTACGAGCTCTGTTTGCTTGTATAAATATTAAGTTGTAAGCTTGCTTTGAAGGCTTCTATCATCTGTCAATTGCTGACCGTTTACTGGCAGTCATTTCAATTTAACCAACGCTTGTTAGAATGTTCTCACTACCATTTTTCTTGAGGTACAATATTCTTTTACTTTTATAGATGTTTCTTCATTTACTTAGGTTTTCTCTGTTCGAGGCATAGACTGAAATAGTATCACATCATTCGAGTACAGATTATGATTAGATTTTTCAGTGTTCTACTTCCCATCATCTTCTGTTTTTCTTTCATTTGTTGCAGGAATGTTATGCCAATCTATTGGCCCATGCATTGTACCATCTTTGATGCGTTGTGAATTTCCTACAAAAATTTAAATCAGGTTCACTCTTCTCGGATGCTAATAGAGAAATTTAGTGGCTGTTGGGATCACTTTTGTTTATTATTTATTATTTATTATTTATTAGTTTTTTGGTTTATTTATATTTGTATGAAATAAAAATTTTTTATGTCTTAAAAAAATATTTTTATTTATTTATGCATCAGTGGCCTCAATTGTTCATGAGGCCGCCATAGCGGTGGAGGCCATCGATGGTTGTAAGCGATTGTGGCCAATGGTATTCGATGGTGGTGACAGCTGATGGTGATATTTATTTTTAAAAATATTCAAATAAAAAAAAAAACCTTAATCAGACTCGTTGTTTTTCATGTTTTTATTGTAGTTTTCTGTAATAATCTTTCGCTTCAAGAAGTTGTTGCTTCAAAATGGAAGCATGCAATGAAAGTCAGACAGAGGCTTATTGCTTAGAGAGAGAAATTTTAGAATAGTTCCAACCCGCTCATCAAGTGCATAAAAAAAATATTCATAAGGTAGATGTATGAAAATGGTGTAAATATATTCTCTGGTCGAATGTTTTCAAAACACGTATTTTAGGAATTCAAAGTAATTAAAATGCAGTAGTTATTTTGTTGGATGCAAATCAAATATATTAAAATGTTTGTGTTTATTATGTTACATATTAATGCAATGAGGGCAGGATCAAATGGTGGGGCGACAATGGCGGCTTGTTGGTGATGGGCGGTGACTGATAATTATGATGGCCATTGGCTTCCGACAGTCAGCGTTGGCGGGCGGATAAGGTGAAGTTATGAGCTGTGAGTTTTATTCCAATTTGAATGAATCTCCAATTCCACAAAAAAATTCCAAATGCCTTGTACAAACAGAATTTGATTTACTTCCTACCAAACTCTAGAAACATAAACTTGTACATTTTTTTTCTTTACACTCCTAATACTTGCTATCAGGTTGCCTTTAAGTGCACCATGATCACAATGCAACTTGGGTTTCTTTTGAGTTTTCAAAAGGAAGTTGTAGTATAAAGAGAATTCCACATTGTCTTCTTACAGGTGATAACTTCTTCACTTTCATCATCTCCAACTCATTACCCAATGATTTGTTCTCTTGTTATCAGGCATTAAGGATGTGGTGGATTTGGTTAAATGTCAACCAAGGAGTTATAAACAGAGGCAAGTCTTTCCTTATTTTCCATATCAGAAGTTTGAGTTCTAGCACAGAATTTAGAGGAAGCTATATACTTAAACGGCTCGATCTACATGCTGGAAAGCTTCAATATAGACAGTGAAAATTGGCTGTTGCAAGTGAAGGACAGCGAAATCTATAACAACCAGATGATCAAGTTAAAAGATCGAGACCACTAGTACGCCTATTTTTCTGCTGATGGAAATTGGATTTACCTGAAGTTAAACTTTTGGGAGAGCAGCGTTGACTTTTTGCCTGAAAATATAGTTGTAAATCATGCGTTTAACCTTTCAGAATTCGCAAGCAACTTTTTGTCACTCGTTGAGCATGCGTTTAACTACTCAATTGTTGTTTTTCATTCATTTACTTTTGATTTTTTTACCTGCTTACGATTCCTTTCTTGCTATTATAAGTACTTAAGAATTTGCTCATATGTTATATGGTATGCGAACATCTCCTCATTCTTTCTCATTATTTCAATAAGCGATGCTTCAGGACAATAGAGACCTGTCATTGGCATGTACAGGGGAGTGGGGCGCACTGGCCCACTAATCTTGTATTGACCAATCAAAACTTGCCATGCGTGTGCCACTGGTCATGACTCATGAGCATAGCCAGCATTATCTTTGATCTGCATTTGGACGCCTAGGTAGGAAGTTAAATTAGATGCAGATTGTATTATTGAGAAAGTCTGAAGTATTTGCATTGTTTGTTTTGTTTTGGTTGAGAACCTCATATTTTCTGAACCATTCTAATCCATTTTTCATGTCATTAATACACCATTACAATATTACATTGGCAGTATCAAAGGAGATTCACTCATGGCTGAAGAAGAACTAGCTCTATCAATTTTTTGCTTCATGCAAGGAGACCTGAGTTGATAAGCTTGTAAGCCAGATTCTATTATTTCTTTTTCCTAACTTTGAGAGAATTTAAACGTAAGCATTAACAATTAGCAGATAGTTAATTACATTTCAGCCTTGATACCTAAGAACTTGTTGACCGCCATTTCACCTTTGTAAATCCTGCTCAAATCCCTCAAATTCCGGCGAAATTCCTGGTACCCCATCGAATCCTGCTTAAATCCCTAAAATCCCGACAACGTTTTTGTTTCTTTGCAAGAATCCTGCTCAGATCACCTCAAATGAGCTTCAATGTTGTTCAAATGAGATCAAATGGAACAAGGCTTCAGTTCTTTTTTCCACGCCCGAACTCATCTGTCCACTCCATCCGATCACAAACTGCAACTGCCGACGAAACTCCTTCATTCCATCACGTCCCTTCCCTATTCGAACAACTCCCGTCCGCACTCCATGATGCCGGACATAATGGATCGACAACTCCTTGTCGACGATCCGGCGACCGCGTTCGAACCAACTCCAAAAACTCATTGGGAAAAAGAATCCACCACCTGAGAACAATTTCAGGATACAGGAATGACACAACACACAACTCAAATTTTATTATCTCCAAAATCTCCAATATTACAATCAATGGCTAGGTATTTATAGACATGTAGCAACATAATAGTCTACACTTAAGAGAAAGAACGCACTATTCCTATACAACCATACTACACCCCAATGGAATTTATTTAGCCTGAAGTTAACATGTTTTAAATAGCTCAGCTCCGGCGTCATACTGCTGGGGTAGGAAAAACTTCAGGCTCATAAGAAGATGCATGGTTGGCCCACATTAAGAAGGTATATTTGGTTTGCTAAACCGATCAGAATATTTTTTATGTACAACTTAGCTACTGCGGAATGAGCCATTATATAATTTTGAACAATGATATATGGCTCTACTGTGGAATGGCCTCCTGTGCAATTAGTACCATAAGGATGTGAACATTGACGAGGAGGAAATAAACCATAATCAAAGGAGGCGAAGGAGTTAATGTTGGGCTCATTCATGGTGGTCCAATAGGAAGCCCTATCACTAAATTCTTTAAAACATACATCAGTTAGTTCTTTGAAATCATCAATGATTATTGGGCTCAACCAGCCTTCATACTCATCTTGAAGCACCTCTAGAGGTGCATCCAACTTACTCACATCATTATCATATATGGGTTGATCAAGATCAATAACTCATACGAATATGTCGTCATCATACACGTCAAAAACGGGTTCATCATAAACAGGCAAAGACGACGATTTCGACAATGGATCTTCAAATTCTTCGAAGTCGGACTCCATCGAGAATGGGGTGGAAGATTATTGAGCTTGCCCTTCAAACACATCTTCATGGGTAGAAGAGATCTAATCATCTAAAATGCCCTCGTCGTCATCATCAGTTCGTAAGGATTTAGTTGGAACAAGGGATCTTGAATCCGTAATGGGAGCATACTTGCCTCATGATTGGAATCCATCAATGTCTCGGGCGAGGGTGATTCAGTTTGTCCTTCGTTTAAGCCTTAAAAATCGTCATGTGAGTCAAATAATTTCTTGTTGAAGATCTTTGATTTCTATTTCTTGAAGTGGTTGTTGTAGAGTTTAGCGAGTCCACATCTTTCTCTGCTCTGCCAAGGTAATTGTTTTGGTGTGGCCGACATGAATTGTTTGCTTTCTATGAATTTTTAGGTCGGATGAATGTGGGTTGTAGGATTCCGCCCAGATTAATGTTTGAAACTTCTTTCTCTCATGCAACCAACGGTCTTAATCAATTGACAAGGGAAGGCGCTAAACTGCAACAATCCGCTTCAAGAGAGCTGCCCCGACTCTAGAGTTGATTACCAGCATAATTCCATTTTTTCCTTGAGCTGTTGTCCTGAAGTGCTGCCCTTCCTGTCCTTTTGACACTATTTTACTCCGTCAAGAGGGCGTAGAATGCTACCAAGAAGGCTTCCAAGAACTAGAAAGCCAACGATTTCCCAAGAACTCCACCACTTGAAATTATCGGGATACAGAATCAGTCACCAATGTGACTCCAAGAGAAAGACAAATGTCTCCCAAAGATTATCTTTCTTCCTAACAGTATAAAAGTGCACTAGTGATAGTATTGTGACGTTAATGAGTCCGAACAGAGTGCCCAACTCCTGGGCCAAACTCAAAATGGCGGCGGTTTAAACGGACTAGTCACTTGGTTCAGACTCCTCTTGAACCACAGACGCGAACTAGGTTCTTTTTTTGAAGGGAAAAATGATTCCTCGTCGCTCGTCGTGCGCTCAAGCGGTGGCCTCCTCCCTATTCTCGAACTTCTCTTCTCACCACCGGCATCATGCCAGCTTTGATACCAAATGACGCCGGACAGGATGGGTCGACAACTCCTCGTCGACGATCCGGCGACCGCGTCCGAACCAACTCCAAGAACTCCTTGGGAAAAGAATCCTCCTCCTGAGAACAATATTAGGATACATGAATGACACAACACACAACTCAAATTTTATTAATCTCCAAAATCTCTCCTATTTTAATCAATGGTTAGGTATTTATAAATATGTAGCAACATGACAGCCATACTGCACCCATATGGAATTTACTTAGCCTGAAGTTAACTTGCATTAAATAGCTTAGCTTTGTCTTCACTCCCTATACCGAACTCCACTTCCAGCTGAACCCAGCTCCTCTTCCCAACTTCCATCTGCCGTATAATGTCCACGATCCAGCCTTAACCTTACAACCTGAATCAAACAACACCCCCCACAACCCTCTACACTATTTCGAGTCGACCAATCTCCCTACAATCCCACCTTACGATACCTTCGATATCACAAGCTAGCTTCGTTCCGACCCATACGCATGAAAGCCATCTCTAATTTGGCCCAGATCCCATCACCCTTGTTCACACGCAGCACCTCAACCTTCCAGTTGATTCGTTCCTCCTGTCAACCCCATACCTGTAATCGACCTCAGTTGATCTTTCTGATCCCTTCAGCGAAGCTGAACCATTCGCAACCCACTACCTCTACTTTTCTTCATCTACTCGACCTCCAATCTTCCTCCAGCTGAGCTCCAAATAACATTGATGTCCCTCACAATTCAGACCCACACCCACACATTGAACCGTGAAAGTTCATGAATGTTGTTAAATCTTTATGAACTAGCCTAAGGCTAAACAAGGGGAGGGGGAGGGATGAATTGGATATTTAAAAAATTCTTTAGGGAAAAATTACTTTAAAAATTTTTCACACCCACACACGAGAATTAATATAGCGGATGCAAAAATAAGCAAATTTCATAACAACGAAATAAATTAGATTTTTCAACCACACATATATTTGCAGAAAAATAAAGTGTAAATAAATAATCAGGATGAACAAACAAAAATTTATAGTGGTTCGGTCAACCTGACCTATGTCCACTCCTTGGAGACTCTCTCTCCAAGTATTGCACAAAATAGTATTGACTCTCCTTTTGCTCTTACAATAAGGTGGAGAACCCTATACATACGCTATTTCATCAACCCGATGCAGCAGAGAATCGTGACTCTTTTAATCGAAGAGAACATCAACTATATTTTCACCCTCTAAGTGATGGTCAGAGAAACACAACTCTATTTTTACCCTCCAGGTGATGGTCAGAAAATCATAACTCTATTTTCACCCTCCAGGTGATATTCAGAGAGCTACGGTCTTTACTGAAGAACTTCTTTTTCAAAGCCAAAGAGAATCCAGGAAGACGCGTATAGACACTAGGCAAGATTTTTTCTTGGGGCTATCTTGTGAATCCCCTCACAACTTCTCCCTCACAAAATCTCCTTCTCTTCTCTCACAAAGCTCTCCTCCTACTCCCCCTCAAGGCTTTATCTCTTGAAGTCTAACCAGCCAAAGATTTTCTAATAATAGTATTAGAAAACCATAAGTTGTGGACTTCAAGAGACCATAATTTTTAAGAGTTCCATCTTTTGTTCGTACAACATGATACACATATTGTAACGTACGATCAGTGTAATTTAGACTTATATAGTAAGTTCGTGTAGACGAACTATTCAACCTTTATAACACTTCGTACTGTAGAATCAAAAGATCATATGGTACGAACTATACAAATTCCTTCTATTCATTCGGGATGACTCTTGGGATAACCAACTTTGTACATTATCGATCTTCCAGCACTAGGACATCGTACAGTACGATCAGCACAAAAAGCATGGATTTTATTTGGTACGATCTCTAGGACGACCAATTTCATATGCTATCAATCGTATTATATGAACATCATTTTTTTTTTTTAGGGTTTAGCCGTACCTTATGAATTACTAAAAAAGGAAAAAGCAACTACAGACTAGATTCCTCCTTCAACATATTGAAAAAGGAAGGAGGAACCTCATTCTCAAAACAATCCATCCAATCAAAGCTACTAAATAATGCATAGTTAGCACATAGATTTGCTAACTTATTGCAT